AAAAAGTCGCAACAAGAAGTTGGCTGCTCGCCTGGCGGCTGGAAAAAGTCACATCACAACATCGTCTACACAACGCCTATCTGGTTTGCCTTATTTAACAGTAGGGTATACTGGCTAGCATTTGAAAAAGAATTAATCACATTCGATTCAGATATTATGGAACTTATGCTGAAGATACATTTTAATTCTAAGAATGAGAAAATAATATGATGATTTACTTATTTGTCATACTATTTTTAAATGGATTAAAAATTTTTTTCCAGGGTATCTGAAATTTACATCGCTCTCATCTTTTCAGTAGTTTGTTTGGCTAGTTTGTTCTAAAGCTGTTGTTGTTCCTTGTGTTTTTCATTTTGTCGCCACCGCCGTTGCTGCATAGACTAAAAATCGCATTCGATCATTTATGGGATTTTATTTGGCGCGTCAGTGAATGTTGCTAAGCAATTTATTTATGACATTTTTTGCTGGCCAGCTTGGGTTGGTTCGGTTAGCTGGTCGTGGATGGGGCTGGGGATGGGGATGTGGATGTGGATGTGGCTCCGACGGATTCGTGCAGCAATTTCTGCAACGCATCGAAATAGCTGCGAAGGCACAACAGCCAAAGTCAAAGTCAGTTGCAAGTTCCATATTCATCAGATGCGACACTCTTCATTCTTGGTGTTTTGCCGTCTTGTTGCTCGATTCCATTCGATTCGATTCGATTTGATTCGCTGGGTTGGCTTGTCTTGGGGTTTTTCGTCTGCTGCTTTTTCTATCGAAAAGCAAACTGGATTTCGTCTTAAGCGCTCCTCCAGTTGCAGTTGCAGTTGCTGTTGATTTTGCCATTGCATTTTAATTAAGTGCATTTTAATGAGGCATCATTGCCGGCCGCCAATGCGACTTTTGTACATCATCAATTACACAAACGCATTTTAAATGGTCTGCCAACGGCTGGGAACTATGTGGCTGCGATTCTTTCTGCCTCAGCTCCCCCGGTTTTATTTTGTATTCAGGTAATTATTAAGCTTATTTAGATTAGTCTCCGCTCTGTGGCTTCGGGCTGTCTATTGCGGTCGCTGCTGCCTCCGTGAAATTGATGCGAAAAAAAATCAACTAAAACTGTTTGTTTTAATACGATTTGAGTTGGCTGGTGCCCAGGAAGGATATGTTTGCCTCGTCCTGTTTGTCACTGCAAACAAATGGAGAGTTGGTTGCCTCTGCTGTCCGGGAAACTGAGCTAATGGAAACTAAATTGATTAGGAGTCAAATAAAAAAAAATATGTCTGAATTTAAAATAATGTACATCCTAAATATAGAAACAGCATATTAAAGGTAACCGTTTAATTTACTTTATATGGGGTTCTTTTTTCTATGTTTTTACAGGATATAAGAAAGGGCATCTGCCAATTCCTTCAGCCGAGCACTTTATCCATATGTTGATTGCCAACTGGTTCACCTGTCCTCCCTTCTCTTTTCAACCCCCACCCCCCCTGCTACCTGCTCAAAAAGTTTTTCCATTTTTTCAAATTGCGTAATTTTCATTAGTTTGCTGCATTTGCAGACAAATTAAGAGCTCCTGCCGCTGCTGTCCTGCCGGGACCCTTCGCATCTCCCCCGCCCGAAGTGCGTATCTGTGAGATACGCATATGCAAATAGCTGCCTGCAGGACCACCCCGATGCGATGCGATGCGGTTTTTCAATTTTCCTCTCTGGCTTTTTTCAGCCTTTTTGTACGCAAATAATTGTGAATTTTTTCCCCCATCCATTTTTGTTGGCCTGCTGCGGCAGGTTATTGTTTGGTTTGGTTGCAAATCCTCTTTTTTTCTATGGATGAGTGTACATATTTTTTATTTTTAATTAAAAGCGGAAGTAAAAGCTGGGGGCATGGCCGCGCGGGGATTCTGGCTGGGATTGGTTTCGGTTAGGTTAGGTTTGGTTTGGTTTGGTTTGGCGACTTGTCAAGTGTGCGTGTGGGTGCGTTTGCCGGGCACTTTGGCCCGTTCATTTCGCTGTGTAGTGTTTTGCTAACAATGCAAATTTCAGGGCATTGTTGCCATCCCCCGCCTCTTTCCCATTGCTCCCCAATCCACCCCCACTCGACACGCACACACAACAAACGCATCAAATCATCAGCGGCGATTTCAGACAGTCATCAGATGAAATGTCAAATGCGTTTCCCACTTTTCCCGCTTCACCCGCTTTTCCCACTTTTCCCGCTTTTCCCGCTCCACTCGGCCAAGTGGGCGAACGCAAACAGACACTGCTACTGGCTACTGGTAATGCCAACTGGTAACTGGTGACTGGTAACTGCCACCGCTTAGAGCGGCGCAAACTAAACCAAACTCAACAACAATAAAAACATGGCAACAATTCACCAGCTGAAGAGTTTTTCAAATAACGAAAAAAGGCTCGGGAAAGTGGGGAGGGGGGAGGCGGAAAAGAGCGGAAAAGGGGAAAAAGTCAGGCGAAAAAAAGAATCGAGAAAATTAAAACAAAACAAACAACAAACGCATCCTTAGCGTCATCAGCCATTTATGCACAGCGAGAATTAATTATGATTATTTAATACCCAATAGCTAAAAAATTCCTTAATTTATTCCCTTTCGTGTTTTGGAAAATTTACAAGCTGTTCTAGACAATTTTTGAGCAAAGGAAATTTATTTTGGTTTCTGATAAAATCATAAATTAAACTTATAATTAATAGAACTGCTTCCTTATGATACACATTCTTTTGAAAAAATTGATTGATCTCATGTTGAATTTTTGGGCAGTGCACTCCTGAATCCTGCATCATCCTTTGGCCGTTATGCCCTGCTTTGCCTGCTCTGTTCCACGCATGAAGAGATTTCGGTTTAGCTTTTGATTGACGAACTTGGCTCGTTGTTTGTCCCTCTTCCTGCACCCCCTCCCTCCCCCCTTGCCATGCCATGCGCTGCCGCTTTTCACTCAAACTCATCAACGTCAGCGACGCATTCAAATCGTTTTGATGGACTTCTCCGCCCCCCAAACCCCCTCTCGCAGCCTTCCCTATCCTATATCCCGTATCAAGCTCACGCAGTGCATCCTGGCACAAGAACAAAACAGCATCGAAAACAAAAAAAAAATGTGGATCGAGAAATGGGGAAAAAAGTGGAATGAGTCTGGCACAATATTTGTATTTTACGCAATTTTTACTGACGACTGCCATCATGTCTGAGTGACTGAGTTGGCTCTGTTTTCTGCTGCCTGATTTGCAAACCGATTTGCTACATTGTTCATGTCAGTCAGCGCATTGTTGATTATCAGTGCGGGTGGCTATGGGTTGCACTTCATCTGGTTTGGGGTTTGGGGTTCGGGGTTTGGGGTTCGGTTTGGCTGAGAACTAAGCCCATGTTTGCCCAGCTATTCATTGTGTTTCGGTTTTTTCTCCTCTTTTTTTTTTTTTGCTGATTGAAAGTTTGTGCGACAATTGTTGCGGTAATAGGAAATGGCCCAGAGTCTAATTAAACAAAATGCATGATAGGCATAAATGGCATGGAAGGAATTACGGTTGGTGGAGGAGGTGCTATAAACAGGTCTTTGAATTTATATTTTAATCATTATTTGCAGATTTATTGGATATTAATATTTGTATGCATTTTCACATTTTAATAAAGCGTCCGAACAAAGGATCTACGATATATCTAAAATGTAAAAAGTGCTTAATATTTTCTCATCCTTTAATCGTAAAATCATTTAATCTGCTCTATAAATATCCTTACAATTTCCACTGCAACTCCTTCCCAATGTTAATTTGCCATAAAATATGCCAGAAACAACAGCCTGAAGGACTCTGTCCAAAATCAAATTAGTCCGTTGTAAGTTTGCCAACTTTAGGCAATGATAGGGATTCTGTGGGGAGGGAATGAACCCCTTTTCTCGGCACAAAATGTTGCCAAAAAGTTTTAAGCTGCGTTTGAGGCTTGTTTTCACACTTTCACACCCGAACAAAGTTGGGAAAGCTGGGAAAGTTTCGAGTGGCGCTTGTCTTGCTCCATCTTCTCGAGGCCATAATCCGTGACGTCATCTGCGGTTAGTTGGATTCTGCATGTAAATGAGACAAGCGAGCCGCAAAGTTTGGCATATTTTGCATCTGATATTTTGGCCATCTCTGGTGCAAACTATTACCGAACTTGTTGCTGGTGGCAACTTGTTGCATGTGTGTGTGTGTCTGTTTGTGTGTGTGTGGGGGAGTTGGTAAAACGAGTGCTGGTGTGCGAAATTCCCGAGCTTCGTTATTCGGCTAATGTCCTTGTGGTTGTTTCGGGTCAGCATCCTGCTGGTGTTTCGGCAGTTGAATGTGTTTTGATAATTGAAAACCCATTGGGGTCGTTTAGAGTCACTTACACCTAATTAGTACGAGGGTCTGAATAAAACGAGAGATGCCACAGATTACAGAAGCACAGACGGTCAAATGTTGTTTGTGGTGCTTGCCAATTAAATAAGTGCCTGTTCTAAAATTATCAGCACCGCAAAAAAAAAAATATAAACTTTATTATTTTGGATGAATTTACTTCAATAAGCTCTTAAGGAATTCCCATTCCCTGAGCTCAGACAAAAACTATGTTAGATACTCTTAGGGAAAATAACCCTAAGCTCTATTAAAGTGAAACTAATAAGTTAATTTGATTACTAAAGCGAAGCGAAGACAATTTTTGAAAGAATACAGAGACGAAATTAATTAAGTCTTAATGCTTTAGTTATAACCTTAAAAAACGTAAGCTTTAAGAATTATAAACAAAACTGTTTTGATCCGAATTTTGTATATATACTGCAACCTTGGACTACAAATTCGTGTTTCCATATTCTGTAGGTATGTGCGTACAAATATGAATTTCGTGAATTCTTTTGGGTGTACCTGGATAGAATAGCGAGTCACAAAATTATGAAAACCTGTTTTGAGAGAAAGAGAGATTGGGACGGGGGGGTCTTAACAACCGGAGTAGGGCGAATCCAAATGCGGCTATAATTACCAAAGAGCCCTTGCGATTGAATCAGTTGAAGCGGCTCATTTGAGTTGCGAGCACCGTGTGGAAATGATTCGGCCCCTCCCGACTCTACTGCTTCTTTGTGGCCTGCTGCTGCTGCTGCTGCCCCCTTGCCCTAGGGTGTCTGCCCAGGCAAATGCCAGCGAGGTGAGTCTCTACGACGACACCGACAATGTGGAGATGCTGGACATCGAATCGCTGCGGCCGGCTCTGTACCAGAACACCCACTGCAAGCTGGTCCAGTTCCTCAACTCCTTCTGCGGCGACTGCCAGCGCTTCGCCCCAGTTTTCAAGGCCATGTCCCGAGACCTCTACAAGTGGCGAAGGCTTCTCCGGATCTACGGCGTGGACTGTGCCCAGGAGCGCAACTCGGCACTCTGCAGGGATTACAACATTAGACAGACGCCCACGCTGCGATTTTTTGGCCCCAAGGTTACGAACAAAACGATCGTCTACGGAGAACAAATTAACTCGCAGAATCCTAAGCGTATCACCGCCTATATGGCTGAGTATATACCCCGAAACGATTTCGGACCCGGCCAACCCAACTTCCGTCGTCTGAAATCGGGTGAAACCGCAAAGAGTCTTTTCCAGAGTTACCAGGATGCACAAAGCCCGGTTGAGTTCATTGTCGTAGTCCTTGAGCAACGTTCTCGCCCCGGAATTCAAATCCTTATTGGTAGGAACACGCTGCTGGATCTGCTGCCCTACAAGGAAGTGGCAGTGCGGTACTCTGTGGACCCCAACATTTTCGCCAACTTTGGCCTGCCACCCTCCAATGAGAAGTTAGCCATCTTCGGCAGGGCCGGAAGTGCCCAGTACCTGCATCCTTCTACGAACACAAGTGAAGCCTATGTCCAGGTTGTTGGGGAGTTCCTTGAAAAGCAGAACATAAAGCCAGTACCTCCACTGCCCGCCCCCAAAGAGAAGAACGACGGATCCTTCTTGGACATTCAAAAACAGGCCATCCTTGCCGAGGTTCTTAAGCCACCAGCAAAAGTCTATCGAGCGGATTTGGAACAGGCCATCGATAAGCTTCTCCACGTGGAGCTTCAGAAATGGGTTTCCTATGAAAAAGAAAATTATCGCGCTTTGACAAACATTATCACGCTGATTAGCGACTTTAACCCTTTGAACAAGGACGGAAAAGTTCTGCTGACGACTCTGCGCAAAGAATTGAGCACCAAGCAAACCATAAAGGGATCCGACCTTAAGACTCTGGTTGCCACCTCAAAAATGGGTCTGAGGATCTTTAAGGCCAGGCGCTACATTGGCTGCATTGGATCGCGTCCGCTCCTGCGGAGCTTCACCTGCTCCCTGTGGACGTTGTTCCACTACTTGACCGTGGAGGCAGCCAAGCCGCCGCAGCTCGAGCCACCGGGTTCAGTTCTGAACGCCGTCCATGGGTTCGCCAAGTACTTCTTTGGCTGCACCGACTGCTCACAGCACTTCCAGCAGATGGCCATTCGCCGGAACTTGACCTCGGTGAAGAGCTACGACGAGCAGATCCTCTGGCTCTGGGCGGCCCACAACGAGGTGAATCAGCGCATCGCCGGAGACCCCATCACCGAGGACCCCAAGTTCAAGAAGATTCAGTTCCCCAGCTCCGAGAATTGTCCCCCTTGCCGGGACAGCAAAGGGGAATGGGTGAACGAGGAGGTCTTGAAGTACTTGAAAAGCTTGTATGATAAAAAGAACCTGAGCTTCTATGGTCTTCCCACCCCAAATGGATACGACTAAATACATTTCATTAAAATACATTGTATTATCCCTATGTACAAGCAAACTAACAATCAGTAATTGCTATAAAGTAAAAGTAAATATATCAAAAGCTATGACTTTAACCTGATTTACTTTCCATGGTCGTGGCATTTACTTCCGATTTTACTCGGTTTTTAAACCAAATCGAGGAAAAACCCGAATAGGCGTATCATAGTTTTGAAGAATTTAAAGCAAAATGGATACTTTGTCATTATATCTTGGTATTCTGTTAATTCTTAGCACTTTACGCATAGCCAAGGGAGCTTTAAATAATTCGGAACCAACAAGGATTTACCAAGTAGATTTGGAACGAGCCATCGATAATATTGTGAATGTGGAGTTGGCTAAGGTGCCAATTTTGACCGGAAACAAGCTAATAGTTCTACGGAACTTTGTTACGCCTTTCAACTTTCTTAGGCCTCTAAACGAAATCGGCAGATTGTGGCTAAAAAATCTGTACAATACCCTGGATTTACAGAGAAAACATGGTCAAGCAATTCTAGAACCTGAATGCAAGGACTCTCTTAAAAGTTATATAAGAGATGATTCGGGCCCTCCCGACTTTACCAATTATTTGTGGCCTGCTGCTGCTGCTGCCCCTTTGCCCCAAGGTGTCTGCCCAGGCAAATGCCAAAGAGGTGAGTCTCTACGACGACACCGACAATGTGGAGATGTTGGACGTCGAATCGCTGAGGCCGGCTCTGTACCAGAACACCCACTGCAAGCTGGTCCAGTTCCTCAACTCCTTCTGCGGCGACTGCCAGCGCTTTGCCCCGATCTTCAAGGTCTTGTCCCGAGACCTCTACAAGTGGCGAAGGCTTCTCCGGATCTACGGCGTGGACTGTGCCCAGGAGCGCAACTCGGCGCTCTGCAGGGATTACAACATTAGACAGACGCCCACGCTGCGATTTTTTAGACCCGACGTTACAAACACAACGATTGTCTACGGAACAGATATTTTCACGAAGAATCCTGACTTCATCAACAATATTACGGCGAATTTAATATCCCGGAATGATTACGGACCCGGCCAGCCCAACTTCCTTCCTCTAAAACCGGGTGAAACTGCAGAGAGTCTTTTCCAGAGTTACCAGGATGCACAAAGCCCGGTCAAGTTCTTTGCCGTTGTCCTTCAGGAACCTTCTCGCCCAGACCATCCAATCAATATTGGCAGGAACACGCTGCTGGATCTGCTGCCCTACAAGGAAGTGGCAGTGCGGTACGCTGAGCAGCCCGACATTTTCGCCAACTTTGGCCTGAAACCCTCCAATGAGAATTTGGCCATCTTCGGCAAGGACGGAAGTGCTCAGTACCTGACTTCTTCTGCGGACACAAGTGAAGCCTATGTCCAGGCTGTTGGGGAGTTCCTTGAAAAGCAGAACATAAAGCCAGAACCTCCACTGCCCGCCCCCAAAGAGAAGAACGACGGATCCTTCTTGGACATTCAAAAACAGGCTATTCTTGCCGAGGTCCTTAAGCCACCAGAAAGAGTCTATCGAGCAGATTTGGAACAGGCCATCGATAAGATTCTTCACGTGGAGCTCCAGAAATGGGTGTCCAATGGAGAAGGCTATTATCGCGCTTTGACAAACATTATCACGGTGATTAGCGACCTTAACCCTTTGAATGAGGACGGAAAAGTTCTGCTGACCACTCTGCGCAAAGAATTGAGCACCAAACAAACAATAAAGGGATCCGACCTCAAAACTCTGGTTGCCAACTCAGAAGATGGCCTGGGGATTTTCAAGGCCAGGCGCTACATTGGCTGCATTGGATCGCGTCCGCTCCTGCGGAGCTTCACCTGCTCCCTGTGGACGTTGTTCCACTACTTGACCGTGGAGGCAGCCAAGCCGCCGCAGCTCCAGCCACCGGGTTCAGTTCTAAACGCCATTCTGGGGTACGCCAGGTACTTCTTCGGCTGCACCGATTGTGCCGTGCAATTCCAGCAGATGGCCATTCGCCGGAACTTGACCTCGGTGAAGAGCTACGACGGGCAGATCCTCTGGCTCTGGGCAGCCCACAACGAGGTGAATCAGCGCATCGCCGGAGACCCCATCACCGAGGACCCCAAGTTCAAGAAGATTCAGTTCCCCAGCTCCGAGAACTGTCCCCCTTGCCGGGACAGCAATGGGGAATGGGTGAACGAGGAGGTCTTGAAGTACTTGAAAAGCTTGTATGACAAAAAGAACCTGAGCTTCTACGGTCTTCCCACCACAATGGGATACGACTAAGTCGAGGAGGAATACTGCTCCCACATTTCATAAAATACATTGTATTATCCTTACTTTCACTTCGTGGTTGCTCTATAGTAAAACTAAATATATCACAAGTTATGAATTCAACATGATTAACTTTTTATGGTAGTGACATTTACATTCCGATTTGACTCGGTTTTTAAACCAAATTGAAGCAAAACCTGAATAAGCGTATCATAGTTTTGAAGAACCGAAAGCAAAATGGATATATCGTCAATTCATCTAGTTTTTCTGTTCATTCTTAACACTTTACTCATATCCAAGGGAGCTTTAAACCATTTTGAACCCTCAAGGATTTACCAAGTAGATTTGGAAGGAGCAATCGATAATGTTGTGAATGTGGAGTTGGCTAAGGTGCCAATTTTTACCGGAAACAAGCTAATAGTTCTACGGAACATTGTTAAGCTTCTCAACTATCTTAACCCTCTAAACGAATATGGCATTTTGTGGCTTAAAAATCTGTACAATACCCTAGTTGTTCAGAGAAAACATGATCGAGGAATTTCTAAACTTGAATACAAGGACTCTCTTAAGAGTTATATCAGAGATAAGTTTGACGGGAACAACTATGTTGGCTGCATGTCTCGTAAAGACAACTTGCGTCAGTTCAACTGCTCCCTGTGGACACTATTCCACTTTATGACCGTCAAAGCAGCAAGGTCGCCGACTGTTTTTAAGCCCGGTTCCATTTTGTGGGCCATTCATGGGTACACAAACTATTTTTTGGGCTGCCAACAATGCTTCGTAAATTTTTGGGAATTTACGATGCATAACAGCATTGATTTGGTGAAGACCCATGATGAAGAAATTCTCTGGCTATGGGAAGCTCACAATGATATTAATGGGATATTGGCAGGCCGTCCAAACGAGGATCCACGGTTCCCCAAAGTTCAGTTTCCAGCAAAGCATGATTGCCCACTGTGCCGAAATGAATTTTCCCAATGGAGAAAAGAAGAAGTGCTGAAATATCTAAAAAGACTTTACGGTGAAGAAAATCTAAGCTAATTCGGATTGTCTTCCTCAGCTGGAACTATTTCGTAGCAATTTAAATTGTATTGAAATTAATTATACATTGATAACTTCCATTAAATGTCAGCTTAGCCACGGATTTCAAACTCCACCTAATTAAATTTAGAAAATAAACCAGAGAGCGGAACTCTAAATGAGTTTATTGTTTAGTAATCTTTGTTAACTGGGACAATGAGAACAATATTTCTAATAATCCTACTAAGCCAGATATTGCTTAGATTTTCTCCTGCACAAGGTTCAAAAATTGTTGGTTTTAATTCCAAATTGGAGGGTTATTTGGTCAACAAAACATTAGATGAACTACTGAGCCTCCATCCAAACCCCTCTGCTGTCTATTTTACCCGAGCAGGAGAAAAAGACGTATCAGATGGCTTTGACTTGGTTTCCAATGTGCTCATTCCACTAACTGATTTTCCTCGGCTTCTGGATATTTTCCTCATCAATTGTGATAGGCCGATGAACAAGGACGACTGCTCCAAGTATGATTCAAAGGTTCCACAACTTCGTTTATTCCCAACCGAGTTTAAACGTATGAAAAAACCGAGTGAAAAGGGTTTCCATATCCCTAACAAATCTCCGTATGAAATGAGGGATTTTGTGTTGAATAAAATTATGCGAATGAAACTGAAGCAACCAGGACATCCGAACTTTGAGCCCATTCTTAGCACGGATACTATCGATTCGCTTTTCCAGCAGGCGGATAACAAAAACATAACCCACGTAGTTCTGGTCGATCAGTCCGAAAAGGGATCCACAGTGGGCCGAAATACAATATTGGCTCTTTTGCCAAGAGAAGATGTAATGGTTCGCATTGTGAGCAGCTTCAAATTGTTTGCGAACTTTGGCTTGGATTTTCAGGAAAAAGATAAAAAGCTGGCTATTATCAACCGATCCCAAAAATCTGTTAAATTGTTTCCAAAGCAAGACAATGGAAAACATTTTGCACAGACTGTAATAGATTTTTTAAAATCAATAGCTAACAAGAAATAATTAAAACTGATAGTGATGCGGTGAAATAAATAATCGAATTTTCATCGGCCTAATTGAACGGCTATGGATTTTAGGTTTTGGAAATAGCTTTAGAGAATCGGATGAGGAGAAGCATTTAGTGCTCTCCAGTTTATTAAGTTAGTATTCTTTTAAAGGCAAAAGTCTGTGAAAAATGCTGACTGCGATATTACCTGCAATCCTAATTCTTGTTTCAGAAAATGGGATTAGTCAGGTGGAGGGTTCACGAATCCTACGGCTGAGGGCCAAGGGAAGGATTACTTTGGTCACCACGACACTGGATGATGCTCTCCTCCACAATCCGATCTCAACAGCTGTCTACTTCACCAACGCAAAGTTGCGGGATAAAAGAGATGGTCTTGACACGATCTCCGATTTGCTCACGCCCCTGACAAACTACCCGCGGATCCTAGAAGTTTATTTAATAAACTGCGAGAGGCCAGCGAACAAAAACGATTGTTTAGCCTATGGTTACGGGGAACCAGGACTCCGCTTCTTCCACAACGAGTTCGATCGCAAGCAGCACTTAATACACCACCTTGACTCGTTCAAGGGGCTTGAAGTACATAATGAATCCTACGCCGAAATGCGTAACTTGATTTTCGATGCCCTGATGGACGTGAAACTAAAAGCTCCCGGCTCTCCGAATTTTAATCCCATTCTCAGCACGGATACAGCGGCTTCGCTGTTCAAACAAGCCAACTGCAAGTGCATTACCAACATAGTTCTGGCCGATCAGTCCGAGGAGGGATCCTTAGTGGGTCGGGACACAGTGCTGGCCCTGCTGAAAAGGGAGAAGACACTGGTGCGCATAGTGGACAACCCCACCTACTTCGAGAACTTCGGCCTTCAGTTCCTGCGAAGGGAAATCAAACTGGCCATTATTCCTCGGTCGCGCAAAGCTGTTAAGCTGCATCCGAAGTACCCCACCGGAAAATCATTTGCACTAACAGTTAATAAATATTTGGATGATATCTTTTAAAGTACGTTATAGTTTTATTACGAAAGTCTCTGCCTTCAGTATAAAAGCTAGATCTCTCTCCACTGAAAAATTGGAGGTACGGAAAAAGCTGTTCAGCCCCCGATAGTGACATGAAAATTGCATAAATTTGCTAAATTAAGCGTTTAGATTAAATGAAGCGACAATGTGCGTATTCGCCCACCGCCAGTCAGTCACCATCCCGTCGGCAGTCGAAGGACCTCTGAGGTCCTGCCAGCGGGCGGTGGGGTGTTGGCCAAGTCAAGTGACCTGAGCTAAGGCAACGGCACTCGTATTACGCCGATTACCCGCACATCAAACTGTACGTGAACTGTACATGAATTATTTATAGAACATTTTTGCAAAATATCTACGCACTAATTTGCGTAAAGTAATCGATGTGGTGGAAAAATTTTCACGCATGCACACCTGAGGGACTGACTTATTCGGCGGGGACGGTGACGGGGGGCGGTGGGTGGTGCATTGCGAGTGGGAGTGGCAGTGGGCGGCCGTTCAGTCATGCCCAAATAAGCAACAGCAAACGGAAGCTAAAAATTACCAGATACCCCCATTCTAGCCATCGGCCATCGGAGCCGCTGAAACGCCCACAAAACTTTCTTTATTGTGCGTAAATTGGCACCCCGCAAAACAACCACCCAACCACCCAACCACCCAACCACCGCACCGCTCAAAAGAGTTAGCGCAGTCAACCCGACCCTCCACGTAATGATGTGTATGTAAAATTTATAATATGCATAAATAAATAAAATGCACGCAGTTTGGGATTTGTGGGCGGGGCGAGGCGAAGTGCAGTTTATCGATATTTTTCATTCGCCCCCCTGGAAAATCCGCGGGCGGTTGTGGGTGGCAAAGCATTTAGTGTAGGGCCAACGGCACAACTGTACCTTGCGGGATTTTCGTGCGTGTCCGGGGAATTGAAGGTTCTCGCCAAGGCAGGCCGTAAATTTTCGTCCATATCTCGTCGCCGGAAACGGAAACCAGCGCCCATTCGTACGAATAGCACTGCTGAATCACTCCGTTCCGTCCATCTGCTCGCTTTGGGGCCCAAATCGCTGCGTAAAGTGCGTAAAATACGGTCGAAAAGGAATGGCGGCCCTTAATGGAAAACGGATATTGTGGCTTTTGTCTGGGCGAGGAGATCCTTGGCCAAAGCCAAAGCCAAAGCCAAAGCCCAAGGAGGAAGTGCTCTAATTGGCCCCGAAAGATTTGCATAACGTAATTGCCAGCTGGCAGAGATCGCGACTTGGCATGCCTGTGTTGGGCGTGCATTAACCAAAAACAATAACCCCGTCCAGAATTATGCACAAATTATTGTTTAGGCATTTAAATTGCCGCAACAGTAGCGTCAGTGAAAAAAAAATTAATGAAAAAAAGGGTTACGAGAAGCGAAAACAATAAAATGCCAGCTGAAGAAGCATCGGTGGAGGCAAGCTTGTTGTTATAATTATGTAAAAGCAGTCTAAAGATTGACTTGACTTCTATACCCACCGACTCACACACACACACACACCCCTTCACCTGGGTGTGCATGCAAAGGCAGCATAAATTTATAGGCAGGGGGGAGGGGGGCGTTGCAACAACAACCTGGTAATTATCAGGCCTTAGCGGCAAGCAACATTGTCTGTGTATCTTGGCGCTACCGTTCGCTAGTCAAACTCCCCGCCACCCCCTGCCACCCAATCCTCCCCCCCTGGAAACCCTCACCATTCGCACGCAAAAAATGTAAAGTGAAAATATTTTTAAGGCACTTGTAGGACAGAGCGAGTGTTTGGGAAAGGGGAAGGGATGAGGGGGAAGGGGAGGGGAGGGGGAGAGGGGGCGCAGAGCGGTACCATCAAATGGGTGGGTCCCATTTTGCCGTTGGCTGCCGCCTACCCACTCCATATTCTAAGCCGAACTTGAGCATTTTCCTATGTAGCTACATATAATTAAAAATAATATGAATAGAACAGAAAAACAACAGCGGGCACAAAAACCAGGGCTTCGGGGAAGATTGAGAGAAGCTGCAGATGCTCCACGGTTACTCTATGAAAGGCAATTATCGAAGTGT